TTCTAACTTACAAATAACCCAATTTAGAAGTACATATGTCGTAGAAGATATAAACATTCACCATTGTTAACAAATAACATCCTCAAATTCATTAATACATGTCTTAGTAATATATCATAATGATGGACTTATAGCTGTAGGACCTAGTGATGCAGTTATTGAAAACAATTGTCGACCCAAATGTTCTTGACTTTTGAATATTCTATGAGAATTTTTAAACCTCTAATCAAAAATTAATTTTAAATAGCACAAATCATTGTAAATAATACTATTGATTGGATAGTGGCTAGCAGTGGAATCCAGGACGTCCTATTTGTGACTCGTCAGTTGAGACTTCAGGCAATATCGAGGCAATTCGCCCAAGATACACATATGCCAACAAGAGACTGATCAATTACAGTCTTAAATAACAATGGGAAGATATAAGTAAACAAAACCATGTGAATACTACTGATTGCTACATAAATATGTGATTCTATGATTAAATGAAGTAATCCTCTCTTTTTGTTATGAAGAGATAATTTCTCAAGTAGTAGTTTCTGAATATGATAGGTTACTTATAATGAATAATTTATTCGTTTTCTTCTTCTTCTTCTTCTTCTTCTTCTCCTTCTTCTTCTTCTTCTTCTTCTCTTTCTTCGCTCTCCTCGTCTCTCATTGCGTGTGTGTGTGTATGTCTTCATCATTTCAAATTTCCATTTTGTTTAAAATTTATACTATCAAATTATCAAGTAAAAACAAATTGAACAAATCATGATATTGAAAGAAAAAAATTCTTTTGTTCCGAATAAAAGAGAGATTTAGAGTGAACAAGATTATCAATACAAGATTACAATCTAAAAGTCTTATTTTTTGTTTATCCCCTTATATACCCTGTTGTTGTCGTTGCTGTAGTGATTGTCATAAGTGTTAGATCCTTATTTTTGCTTTTTTCGGATTTTGTTACTGATCAAAAACAGATCTACTATTGTAAATCATAACTAGAATTTATCAGGATTATAGCCAGTATTATTACTATTATTATCGAAATGAAAGAAAGAAATTTTTCGAGATCCATCTAATTTGCTAAAAAGAAAAATAACATTTGTTTAGATGGGGATATTTATTGTATGAATAAATTGTCTTTAATTGTGATTTCATAATGAGTGTAGTGAATTTGAAGCAATATGACAAAAGTCATATAGGGTGTTTTTTTTGTGGAGAGTTTAAGTCCTGGGTTCGAATCTCGTAAGGCGGGATCTTGGATGCTCACTGCTGAGCAGTCCCACAATACGACGAAACGGTCATCTAGTAGTTCCAGGTTTTCTACGGTGGTCTAGCTTCAATTGATTCATGATTTCAATTATACGTAAAAAAGTCATATAGGTTTGAATGTTAACTGTTTGAAGTATTGTAAACAAGAATAAAACAATAGCATAGTGGTAGTATTGTAGTATGATAAGTTGTGGATATTGTACATTCATGAACTGAAATTAGTTAGACAACTGTTGTAAACTAAGAAAAAGTAAGGAATCTATCAGGATTGTTTTCACAACCCTATCACTAATTAGACTAGCGGCGTGTGTTTAACCTTTAGACCATTGAAATGGCATCTAATGATTTATATTTCTAACTTCAGTTAAGCGGTTGCTAACTACAGAGAATTGATTGAAATTAGGGATGTAAACCAGTGTTTTTAAGATTAAGTGGTAAATACGAACCTTGAGATTTGTAGTTGTGATTTCTTGTAAGATCATGGATGTTCAAAGCTTAATGGTTATCGGATTTCATTAGGAAGATACAAGCAAACAATACCAAATTAATATAAACTTCATCCCATTGCACAAACAGGCGGCTATCAGGACTCAGTAGTTAAGTGGATAACGCTCATAAAGCTTGTGACCTATGGCAATATCGAGGCAGTTTGCACACGATGCACATATTTCAACAAGAGACTGATCAATTGAAATCCTAAACAACAATGGAAAGATTCAAGCAAGCAATACCAAGTGAATTTAATGATTTTTTTAGCCAGTTTTTTAATCAGTTTAAAAAACATTCTTCAAGTTGCATTGATCTAATAATTCCTTAAGTTGAGAATTACCGGTCATTCTTCTCATTTGTAAACTGTTCCTATTATAATACATTCTATTTCTTTTAAGAATAGCATATCTATTTTCGAATATAGTGTCATGAATCTATAGTAACTATGGAAACAATTGTACGGCTTTTGTAAATGATAACAAAAAGAATAAATTCTTTTTAGGAAACAACAATTATTGTAATATTCAGTATACTATTCAGAACAACATATATAAGCAAACAATATTGGTCTCACTTAAATCCTTATCAGGCTTTACTCTAATATACAGTAATATTTATAAACATATACGAAACTATTAAACCAATGAAGGTGTTATATCCTCTGGTGAATGATAACTTTTGAGGACTATTTATGGACCGATACGATACGTATATTTCCTATTGTATAATTGTTGCGTAACTAAACTATTCATATTCGTATTCCCCTTATCATTAACTTTATTTTGACCTATAGACTATTATTATACGATTTACGATTCTTGAGTTATCATCAGTTTATTGATTACTTTCCCCCTATTAACAGCCACAGATTCGAACCCAGGACTTATCAGTCTCGCGCACGAGCGCATAACCTCTAGATCACTGAGCCGGCCGGCATCTAACGGTGTTAATATCTAACTTCAATCAATCCACGAAATTGAGCGACACATCCACCACTGTCTTAAGTGAGTTACTATCTCACAACAGACCTGGCTGAAATTCACTTGTCACTACTTCATCCAGGTTTCCCATGGTGGTCTAGCTTCAATTGACTCATGATCTCAACTATTAAAATTACTATAATATCCACAAAATCCCCTCCTGATATAAATCAATGAGTGTTTATAGATCGATAAACTTTGAAATAAAGTAATCAGTTAATTGTTTCCGTGATACCTACTTATTATTGGTAGGATAATATCGTGTAAATTGGATATTGCAAATACGAACTTATAATCACTTACTGATTGTTAAGTCAATATGATTCATTCAAATTATGATAATTCAAAAACTTTATTCTTTTCTTAAAATCTTCCAGTACAAAGAATTCTCATAATTATGAACTTATAACTGTACAACCTAATAATAAAGTTATTGTAAACAATTATCTGCTCAAATATTGTTCATTTTTTTGAATTCTCATATACATAATTCTATTTTCATAGTTGAAAGCGTGAGTCAATTGAAGCTAGACCACCATGGAAAACCTGGAAGCACTGGACGGCCGTTTCGTCCTACTATGGGACTTCTTAGCAGTGCGCATCCACGATCCCGCACTTCAGGTTTTCCATGGTAGTCTAGCTTCAATCGACTCATGATTTCAACTATGAAAATGCTAAATTCTCCACAAAACCCCTTCTGATCTATAATTCTATTTATGAACTTAGAAAATAATATAAATAGAGATTAAAAGAAAAAAAGACTTTTTAAAATATGAAATTTAAACCTCAATTGATAATTTCAATTCACTTGGTGTTGTTTACTTGTATCTTCCCATTGTTATTTAGGACTGCAATTGATCAGTCTCTTGTTGGCATATGTGCATCGTGTGCAGACTACCTCGATATTGTCTGAAGTCACAAGATTTATAAGCAAAATGTATAATGGCTAGCAGTGGAATTGATCATTTCAGTTTATATGTATGATTCAGATTGATAAATTGTAGATGATAAATGTACCTTCCATGATTCTTTTCCTTATTATCTCTTTAAAGACAGTTACTAGATTTAATGAAGTTTATTCAAGATACTATATTTAGAAAAATCAACTAATTTATTAAAAGCATAGGTCTTTATCTTCCCATTGTATAATTAACAACTTTGTTAATTTAAGGTAATAGTTTATACATATGAATGCAAGTTATATAATTTGAGATTTAGTCATAAATTTCAATTCTATAGATTTCTTTAGACATTAAACTGCATCGGAAAATACACCTTTTCCTTATAAATTTATTCATATAAATACAAATAATACTCGGAATATTTCACGTTTATTTATTAAAGATGCCAGCTAAAATATAAGATATATTCACTAATCTTTGTTAAAAGTTCTTGCTTGGTTTCACATACATATAAACAGAACAGACGCATCTTATTCTTGTAGATGAAAATAAATTTACGTTAAATACCCTCCGTTTTTAGTGTGAATATTTTTTTAAAATCATCAAATAGATTAGTAATATTAATTGCCTTTATAATGGGATTGCCTGTAGAGTTAATTGAATATTATTCTTTGTATAGTTTTGATATGGGTCATATCGATAACCAAACTGATCATTGTAAAGGTCATATAGATTTATTTTCAGCTTTCTGTTCGATACATTAACACTTAAGATTAAACCTAGGACCTTCATAATACCATGGTAGGGACGTCAAGTTTAAACAGTTGAGTTGGGACTCACAGGTTCACAACATTAACTTCAGTCAATTTACGACATGCTTTGACAATCATTCAGTGTCATTGTTGATAACTATTTCACCCTTAATATGTCAGATTTTCATCATCTATGACTTTCCATTGTAATTTGGAGGAATCATTTTGAATGATATTATTGGATAAGCACATAATTATTGTTTACATTTTGAGTGTAAACTAACTGACATTAATCCAGGACAAATGTGAACCACTACACAAAGTGTTTATCTATTTACAGAAAACTAAACATAAAGTTATTCTAAGCTTTCCTAATGTTATAAACCAATTATAAGAATTAACATCTAAATTTAATTAAATTCTATCATGATATATGGGCGCCCAATTAATGTGAGACATTAAGAAGAAAAAATGTATTTGTGAAATCTAAGAAAATGATTGGTTCATTTTTTTTCAAAAATTTCAACCAATCAGCTTCTTACAATCTAACAAAAAATTTGATTGGTTAATAATTCTTATGATAAATTCAAATATTCATTTTTTTCTTCATTTGATTAATATTTTAAATTTTTAGTTTTTCTTATCCAAATGTTATTTATAACTGATATAAATCATTTTAAAACACATTGATTTTTTCGGATTATTCAATTAAAAACGGTACATTTAAAGTAATTAGTCCCTTCTTATTACATCATCAAAAACGGTACATTCATTTTTTGTATTTTTTTTAAACAACATTTTCAATGTTTTCAATATTTCAACGAACTATTCATTTAAAACAATCTATTCATTTAGTTATATTTTGTTTTTTCTTATATAAATTAACAGAAACAATTTTACAATATGGTACACGTATTGAAATATATAAAATTATTTGTTTATCATTTATAAATTCAACAAAAATAGAAAAAAATATTTGTTCCGGTGAAAATGACAATATTGATGTTGATTATGATCATGATGATGCTGTAAAACATTCTATAAATGATCAATTATTACCTAAAATTCAAAGATTATCTGGATATTATTTATTAACCTATCGTATATTGTTAAATTTACCAGCTACAATAGCTTGTTTTGTCTATGGTATATGTTCAAATAAATATGGTCATAAAATATCAATGTTAATACCATGTTTAGGTGCAGTTATTGCATGTACATTATTTTCTTTAAGTATATTACCAAATAATAATATAATTCATTATTCTGTTATATATATTTTAATTGGTGGATTTATTTATGGTATATGCGGTAAAAGTAGTGCAATTACAATGGGAGCTAATAGTTATATAACTGATATGACTAATATAGATAATCGTACATGTATGCTTGGTCGATTATTAGGTATAAATTGTCTTGGTTTATCTATTGGAACATTATGTCTTGGTTTATTTTTAACATTTTTAAATTATTCTAATTCAATTATATTTTGTGCATTAAGTAATTTATTTATTGTTTTAATTTTATTATTTTTTGTGGTTGATTCAAAATCTGTTGAGAATACACCTATATTACATAATAATGATAATAATAATAATAATAATAGATCAATTCACCTTACAGTACCTTGTACTAGATCCATGACAACATCAAATAATCATACCATGAAACTATATGACTTTATTCAAACAACAATCATTGAACAATTTTATCAATCATATAAATTTTTATTTCCAAAAAATTTAAATGAAAAACATAAATTATTATTAATTTTATTATTTACAGTATTATTTAATCAAATGACAAAATCTGGTGAACAAGATATTATATTATTATATTTACGTAATGAACCAACATTATGGACTAGTCAATTATATAGTTATTATTTAACATGTTACTATGGTTGTATGTTTATACATTTAACATTGATACTACCAATAATTGAACAAAAATTTACATTTCATGATACAACTTTTATTTTAATTGGTTTATTATTAAAAATTATACGTTTATTATTATTTAGTATAACTAAACATAAAGGATGGTTATTTTTTGGTGCAATTATTGGATCAGCAGCTGGTTATATAACATCATCAACACGTTCTATTATAAGTAAATTAATTTATAAAACAGAAATTAGTTCATCATTTGCATTAATATCAATATTTGAAACGATAGCAAATTTATTTGGTGGTTTATTATTTACTATAATTTATAATTATACAATAACATTTATGGCATCATTTATTTTTATATTAGATGCATTATTACATGTATTAATTATGATTTTATTTATATGGTTACGTTTTAAATTAATTTTATTTGAGAAAACTATAAATTATGGAGAAAATAATCAATATTATTAAAAACAAGACATAATATAAGAGAATAAATAGAAAAAGAAAGATTGATGTATATTATTGTAATTGTGTAATGAAAACAATAAAAAAAAATTATAGATTCACTTTTGTATTGTTTGTTTAGATCTTCTCATTGAAAAATTATGATATACATTAAGGAAATTACTAAACTTGAAATCCTGATGGGAAGCGGAAAAGAGGAAGACCAAAGAATACATTACGCCGGGAAATAGAAACAGATATGAAAAGGATGAATGTTAACTGGGAAAAATTGGAAAGAATTTCCCAAGATAGGGTTGGATAGAGAATGCTATTGTGCATTCTATGCTCCACCACGATGGATAAAAGACGTCAGTATATAAGTAATGATGTTTACGATTAAAATTGATCAGTATCTTATTGGCCATACGTGCATCCTGTACAGATTGCCTCGATATTGTCTTAAGTCACAAGTAGTATAAGTAGAGATGGATAGTGGCTGGTAGTGGAATCCAAGAAACGTACGTCGTTCTATTTGAGACTCGTCAGTTAGATGTACTTGCATCTCAGAGTCGATGTAGACAACGTGATGATATTCGAAGCGAACGGTACTGGGTTCGTGTCTTGAAGTGAAAGGGAAACTAAAAGTATATGTTTCTGGATTTTGCATTGTATCAGTGGATGTAGGAGATTATTTTTCTAAATATTTTGGGGAAAAAGATTAGATCTAGTAGAAATCTCTACTTTCATAAGGTGTTGAGCTTATTGTTTCTGGATTTGTAGTTTAATGTACAATCACTTACAAGAATGATTTTCCATGCAGATTGGTTGATAAAGCTTTTTCTAATGAAGCTTATGTGCGCTCTTCTGGAATGGATTACGTGTTTTCAATTTTTACGAACCCACCGCGCGGATAAGATTATTGTGCGGAATCGCGGCCCCTCCAGGTCTTTGCTTGTATCTCGGTATCGTTAGAAGAGCAAGTAAAGGATTTTTGAGGTTTACTTACTCTGGATAGGTATAGTCTATATGCGTACTAAATAACACACGCACTTTCATCCCAGTATTTCTTGATATACATACAGGTATGCCTACCCTGTGAGCAAATACAATTTACATGCATATCGGTAACACATAGGTTTTATCGTTTGCATCCCATGGCATACAATATATGTATATTCACCCACTTGGGATAGTAGATGTTCATCACACTTTTGGAAACATATTTTCTAGAACTGAGTGTCTCTTACATATTATATGCATATCATTCAAACCATGGCTATCTCCCCAGTACTTCGTGATACACGCATAAGCACTCCCTCAAAGGGGGGTTGTTCGTTGCCTCTCCCTAGTATTTGCTTTCATGTCCTTTTATTGTGACTTCAAGCTGATAGACTAGGTCGTTGATTTTATTAGACATAAGGCAGACGATCTTTTAGCTAACGTTTCCTTTGTACGATGCCACACGCACACTCTTTGCATATTCTCACATACATGAATTATGTAGACCCAAGGATTCGTTCAGTTCTTATATATATGCCAATATATCAGATGGCCCGATGTGGTTTGGTGAACCTCTGGTAAGAACCTGGGTTGATCAAGGATACATTGAAGTGAATGATCAGTCAGATCTCCGTTGACAGCTTAAGTTGGCTAACAAAGTTGCCCTTACTATTCAGCAACGCTGTGAGATCGGATTTTGCTGCCTCTTCCAAGAATGCGAAATGTTAATCATAGCTGAACAGATTTCAATCCAAGTTTATCATTTATGTGAAAATTACACAGAATAAAATTGCAGCATTCTAGAAATATTTGGACACATACGTTGTACATTAGAATACGTTATTCACTGTTATAAGATTCAAAGTATGCAACTCATAGGTTGATAAGGCTTAGAAGTCTGTTTGGAGATATGTTCTGAGGATGACAAACAGTGGAAATATGTACTCGAATCTTCGTACAGTATGTATGTGTGTTATGCAAACAAACATGTACCTAGAATTCTAACTAAAACTGGATTCGATGAGTAATGCAAAGAAATTAGTATATTTTATTGTTTAAACGTAGTAGATTTCAGTTTGTCATATGGATTCAAACTAAAGTATTTAATGGTATGCATAGTTAATGAATGTTTATAGATTGTGATGTAAGGTAGTTAAACCATGAAGATTAACTTATCTACAACACGCAACTGACGTAATAAATACCATTTAATCAAGTAGTGTACATGAAAAATGAAAACTATTCAAATTGTTTTTTGTGTTTAAACTCAATATCCTGGAAAGTTTGTTAAGTAAACAAACATAGAAATAGAATTTTATGCATTGATAATGAAAACGTTTCGATTCACCACTAAGTTATGAAAGCCAACTTAAGTGTATGATGATCGGTAATATTCAACTGTTAATTCAGATTCAGTCAAGCAGGGAATAAAAATAAATAAGTAAATATCTTGAGAATATTCTTAAAAGAAAATTTAGTAATATACATACATCCCTACAAGTAGACAATGCAGTAAAGAAAAAAGACACAGTTTCAGTGGGATAATGAGATGCACCATCATAATTTTTCATTTTTATTATCATTTACGTAGTGATAATCTTGTAAATATGATGTATAGAAGTATGATGTTCTATGCTATAATTGTATATTTAAAACATTAAATATATATATATATATACATATACATATATATGTATAAAATTCAGCTAATTACCCTCTTTCTACACTGAATGTTATCAGTCTGTAATATTAGAATAAATTAATTTTAACAGATGAGATCATGAATCAATTGAAGTTAGAACATCATAGAAAAGTTTTGTTTAAATTAATTAAGAAAATAAAAGTATACAAAAGAAGAAAAAAAAATTATCTTAACAATAATGATTAAGAAAATAATTTATTAATAATGAATAATATTGAATATAGATAAATGTTATTTTAAAGGAATACAACCTATTGTACTATTTATATTAAATAAAATGAAGATGTTTTTTTATTGAAAAAGAATATAGTTATGACAACAATGTCATCTTATAAAAATGTACACTTGTACTAATAATAATTCATACTATATTAAGTAGTCTATAACTTTTTTTTTAGAAAAAGAAGTAGAACAGTGTTATTCTATTTTAAATAATCAAAAATGTACAATATAGGTTATTTCATATTATTTTGTTTTATATATTAAATTAGTTTTCTGTTACTTATTACAAATATGATAAATATTTATATAGTTACTAAGAAATATTACAATTCTATTAGTTACAAGCATTATTGACCATAATGATGATGGTGATGGCCTCAAGTTCTTCTTTTTCTCATTATAAATTTGATCATAATCAATAAATTTGATAAAGTATTATCCGTTTTCTATTATTTTCTTTATTTTTTCTCTTTTTCTTTTTCTATCATAATCATAATGATAATTATATAATAATAAATGATAACTATGATAGTGATGATGTTGATGATGATGGTAGTGATGATGATGGCCACAAGTTTTTTTTCTTTTTTATTATTTCCTTTTTCTTTTTTTTCTTTTTCTATCATCATTACCATGGTAATTATATAATAATAATAAATAATTTATATATATTTATTTAATTTATATTTTAACCATATAAATATAATAATAATTGGTATATTTAAACAAGCATCTAATATAAATATTAATGATGAATAATAATTTATTGATTTATTATAAATAATAGTAAATAATAAACTACCAATAAAATTAGATATAATTTCTAATATAGATATAATTGAAAAATATTTATTTAATTCATTATTATTATTATTATCATTATTGATTAATTTACTAATTATTGATTTTGTACAAGTGATAATAAAACATGCTGGTGAACCAATAATAGCACTTAAAAATATTAATAATTTATTATAATTCAATAAACCAATAATCAATAAACGTATCATTTCTGTAAATAAACCAATTAGAATTAAATTGAAATCATTTAATAAATTTTTTTTTTCTATTATTGGTAATAATATTATTAATTGTATAAACATTAATGTATAATAACATGTTATATAATAAGCATATAATTCTGTATTCCATAATAAATTAGATTGATTTAATAAATATAATAAAATAATATCTTGTTCACCAGATTTACTAATTTGTTTAATAAATATAGTCATTAATATAAATAATAAATAAATATGTTTATTATTTGATTGTTTATTAAATAAAAATCGATAAGATGATTTAATAATCAATAAAAGTTTTAATAAATATGTAATGATATTCTGATAATAAGTTTTATGTTCTTTGTATATAAATGTATTTGCAAAGCTGGTTTCATTATTATTATTATTATTAGTAGTAGTAGTATTAGTAGTAGTATTAGTATTAGTAGTAGTAGTAGTATTACTAGTAGTAGATGTAGTAGTAGTAGTATCGTTATGGTTAAGATCTTTCTGTTTAACATGTGGTCTATCAAATTGATTTACAACTTCTTCTATTGAATATGATAAAGTATTTAATAAACATTTTTTAGAATTTTTTATTAAAATGAATAAAATTATCATCACCAATAAATTTCCAATAATTACAAATAGAATCATAATAAAATAATTTAAATATCGATAAAATATACCAAGTAATAATGAACCAAGTGCTAAACCAAAAAAATTTACACCTAATAAACGTCCAATTATATATGTACGTTTTTTTATAGTAGTATTTTGTATTATATAACTATTAGCACATAAACTAATTGCATTACTTTTACCACATAATCCATATATTGTAGCACCAATTAATGTGAATATTATTGAATCTGGTAACAATTTTAAATTTGGTAATAAACTGCTTAGAAATAATCCACATGATAGAATAGATCCTAAACATGGGATTAACATAATATAATTTTGACTTATTCTATTCATTAATAAACCATATAGTAAACATGTTAACATAGCTGGTATATTTGCTAAAAGACGATAAAGTAATAAATACCATCCAGATAGTTTTTGTATATCAATTTGAATAGAATGTATATCAGATTCAACAGAATCATTCATATTTCTTAAATCATTTATCCTATTCTGCTTTTGTAAATCATCAGTTACATTATCAATAACTGAACTATTGATACTAACAGGATTATCATCACCAACAGTTTTATATTGTTTATAATCCTGAACATGATATTCACATAATTGATAAAATGATCCATTCAATTGACTTATTAATCCTTTACATACATTTGTATAAATATAAATACGATTACCATATTGTAATAATGATTCTGCCATTTTATAAATTAAAAAACAAAATATGACAAGATTTATTGAAATGGTTTGTTGATGTTTTATCCAAAATGTTTTCATTTAGATTAAGTTACTGGGGTGGGTGGTTGTTTTTCAAAAAACAAAATCGGATAAATGATAAAACAATAGTCAAATAGGAATAATGTTTATACACTTTAATATGTATGATGTAATCAGTTTTCACTATTTATATATTTTCTCTTATTTACACACATCTATTGTAATTTATGTATATTCAATGGTAGATATTATGTCATTGAAAGAAGTACACATTTTGAATGATGTAATAAATAAATAGAATATTGTACACAAATTGTAAATAAATAAATAAATAAACTTTCCCTAATTTCATTGGTGAATTATGTCACCACCACCAACAACAACAACAAAAGGGTCCCCATCAATGAAAAGCTATTCATTTTTATTTGTAAATACACTTGAAAATGTACATAATTGATTGACTTGTTGTTTTGTTAATTCAGTTATGATGGACCTTAATAGTGTAATTGAACATTGAATAAACATGAATAAAAAGTGTGAATTTTCATCAACAGATATGGATTGCGCTTGTGTTATGTAATTCTAAACATCAATTACCTTAAAGTGCAATATTAAATGAAATGGAAAGAAATTTGAAGAGTGCTTTGAGTGACCAACATTAGAAGTATAGTAATTGCAACAGTATATGAGGTTTCTCTACATATGTTTAGATAAAGATTTGTTTAGGATGGATAGTGGCTAGCATTAGATTTCAAGACGCGCGTTTCGTCGTATTTGGGACTCGTCAGCTGGATGTACCTGCATCTCAGAGTTGAAACGTGCATCCTGGATTCCACTGCTAGCCACTATCCATCTTTGCTTACAATGCTTGTGAATTAAGACTATATCGAGGCAACACGCACAATATGTACATATGGACAATAAGAGACTGATCAATTGCGGTCCTATACGTGAATGGGAAGATTCAACCGAACAATACCAATTGAAATCAAAGATTTGTTTAGTTTGAAAACAGTTTTCACTAATAAATAGTAGTAAATGGAAAGTTATCGGAAATCAGACATTATTGGACATTTGTTTTATTCTAACCTAAGATCCTTTAACAATATAATCTACTAATTTCATCTAGAACATTCAGGTTAATATGAGAGTACTATATCATTAGAACAATTATCCTCATTGACAATTTTAGTCAACTCTAAAAAGACTAGAACCAATGCACAATGTTACCATGGGTTAGTTACTTCAATCTTAACATGGTTACCACCTCATAGGTCACAGCTCTCCATTAGAATTTCGAGCAAAATAAACAAAGCTAATCACAAATGAGTACACATCTATTATTTAGTCAAATGTAAGTGTATAAAATTACATTATTTCGTAGAATTTTGAGTCAGAAATCTGAAAGCTCCATAATCACTTAGGGACCTCAGAGTTTTCGGTGAGTATCTGGAAAATCTTCAGAAAATTTAATTTCATCAAAACTAACAATCTTTTTTTTCACTTAGTATTGTTTGTCTGAGCTTTTCCATTGATGTTTATGATTGAAATTGATCAGTCTCTTATTGGCCATATGTGCATATTGTGCGTATTGCCTCGATATAGTCTTAATTCACAAGTATGATAGTGGCTAGCAGTGGAATTCAGGATGTGCGTTTCAACTCTGAGATGCAGGTACATCCAGCTGACGAGTCCCAAATACGACGAGACGCGCGTCCTGGATTCCACTGCTAACCACTATCCATCTTTGCTTGCAATTTTTTTTGTTTTCCAGTTCAATTTCTCTTCTACTTTTATTAATTCCTATGTAGAACTGTCAAAAAAAACATGAAAGCATTGATTCTTTCATTCAGTTTATCAAACCAATGATTTCTTGAGAACAGTAAGTATGGGAAAAATCTTCTCAAAATTGTAACAGTGTCCTGCGAAACTGTCAGTCAACTAATAAATTAGCTTTTCTTGTATATTCTATGAATAGATCATTATCAAAGCAAATTTAATTAAATCCGATAATCCTAGAATATATGTATAATTCAAAAAATGAAGAATATCTGAGTGAACAATTGTTCTCATTAACTTCATCAATAGACTGTACAGTTATTGTTTTCAATAACTGCATCACTAGGTCCTACAGCTATAAGTCCATCATTATGATATATTACTAAGACATGTATTAATGAATTTGAGGATGTTATTTGTTAACAATGGTGAATGTTTATATCTTCTACGACATATGTACTTCTAAATTGGGTTATTTGTAAGTTAGAAAGGTCATTTAATAATGGTCAAAATGAATTTGGAGTAAAATGTCCAGTCACAATCAGTAGTATAGTATTATAGTAAAAATGAAAATGCATAAAATCATGTGAATAAAGTTTATAGCAGGAGAATTTCATCTTGTCAATTGAGATAATAATGATAATTAGTAATAGTAATAATAAGATTGTTGTGTGAACATAATACGTAATAAGAGGGGTGTTATCAAGGTAATAACGATCAAAATAATTCACGTGAATTGGGAATGATGGATGTGAAGATTAAGATAGAGGTAATCAAAAAAAGGAAGGGGGAAAGAGGTTTATAATATTCATTTTCGGTATCCGGTGATTCAGTCGTAGGCCAAGGTAAACATAGAAGCTGGATATATCTATCTTGGATACATCAGTTTGGTTTTCTGGAGTTGATCCAGATGGCTTCGGCTATGTAGAGTAATCTTAATCTAGCTCCTTGACGTAGATTTTTCGGAGTTTGATATAAAACAGAGAAAGCTTCCTCTATTTTGATATGATGTTCACTATCTACCATGTGAGAAAGAATGGTGCTGTTAATTGATTTGGTGACTCCTTTTTCCAACCATGCTATGACACTTTCACGAATACACAAGGATAAAGCCCTCTAAGTACGGCCTATGTAACTACCTCCACAGGAGCAGTTGAATTGGTATATAAACATGGAAGAGCTCATATTTGGTAACTTGCAAATGTTCACCATTTTTAGCATACAACATTGTCAAATTAATGAATACACGCCTCATTTTGGACTTTGTAAAATATCATAAATATGTATGATTGTTAATATCTTATTTAGAGCACACAATCTATCACTTTTCTTTCGATATCTTACGACTTCCATCTTCGTCAGAAATCAGTAAATAATCTTAAATTCGCTTGGTATTGTTTGTTTGAATCTTCCCATTGATGTTATATGTCTGCAACTGGTCAGTCTCTAATTGGCATATATGCCTACTGTGCGTATTGCCTCGATATAGCCTTGATTCACAAGCATGATAAGCAAAGATGGATAGTGGTTAGCAGTGGAATCCAGGACACGCGTTTCGTCCTATTTGGGACTCGTCAGCTGGATGTATCTACATCTCAAAGTTGACGTTCACCCTGGGACTCGAACCCATTACCCTCGCTTCAAACGCCATCGCGTTATCCACTCGGCTACTGAGTCCTGATAGCCATTTGCTTGTGCAGTGGGGTGAAGTTTAAATTCACTTAATATTGTTTGTTTGAATATTTCGATTGATGTAAATAATCATATTTATGGTAGCTTAACAAAAAAAAGTAGTAAAATAAACGACATTTCTTTATGATTACTTAAAATGTTTTAATTGATATGTAGTCACCTTCATGAATGCATAGTCAATCTTTTGTAATCTATCTATTTACTGTGCCATTCGATATAAAAACAACTTAGAAAAAAAACAATATTTGGTAGTTGTAATCAAAATGTTTACCTTTACAAATGTTTTTTTTTGAATTCGACTATAAACAACCCTGGTTCACTTAAGTTAAATCCATAGCTCTATTTCTACCTGAAATATTCAAAATACTAAGCATAAAATTAGATTGGATTTGACTGTTTTTCCATCTTAACAGACCAAGCATATGTCATTCAGGGTAGTTGACAGAAGAGCGTATTTGAACGTAAACACGAATATATTTATGAGTAATAAATGAGTGACTGAGTATATTTACAATAAGACAATAGATAAACATAGACAACGGGCGTACTTATAGTCTTACCTTAATAATACTATACACAACTGATTAAGTCTTTCAGATACAGTGAAGAAATTAACTGGACTACAATGATATATTTATTTGACATGTTTTTTATTCAACCACAGAGTGATGGGTTGTGTATGTATGTAAGTAAAAATGGCTTGATATGTATTTGACTTTCTCCCGCTGGTCAATTAATAAAGTTGATTGGTGAATAACAATAGGAATAAAGTACTAATGTCTTGACATATTTAAAACTGGATTTATTGATGTTAACATAGAGACCTGAATCTAGTGTTTTCCGCTTAATGAATTTATATGGTTACTAACTTATTCAACGCCTATAAGGCTATATATTCAAGGGTTTAGTTTTCCCACATATTAATAATAAGGATTTCAATTGAACAGGCTTTATTGCAATATATGATTCCTTAGTTGAGTGCCTGGATTTTGTTTGTAAAAGACAATAACACGTCTTCTTGAGCAGTTGATGAAAGACATGTATTCTTTTCATGTTAACACTAATTGTTTGTATAACTCTATGTGTATCTACTAAATCAATTACATTTACAGAACAAAAAGACGGGTGTACCATAGATTCTACCAACATGTTCCATGAAATCCTCGTTTCCATTATTGCGATTGTTGAATAACTCAATAATATAGGATAACATTAACTGTATGATAATGGTGACCTATTTTTCAATCTTGTGTCAAAGTTTAAAGGTAGTCATTTGGAAAATGGGTACCGTGGCAATGTAGTTGAATTCTATTAACCTATCAAACGTTTATAAATAAGTCGTGTAATAGATTTACATTTATCCAAATCAAACTCATTATATATTGTACGGATGAGAACTAGAATCAGTCTGACCAGGTTCCTCGGACAATTCAGATTTACCAAGGTCAAGGGTTTTTAACCCATGAACCGAACCCCAATCGATAAAACATAAAAATGAACAATGTTGCCGTCAAATAATCTAATCTAGTGTATTCATGTACACCGACAATTCATTTACATTAACCTTAGCGAGGTTAACCAGATTGAGATATCAGAATTATTATTCATGATAATGTTTCTTTTTATAAGTAGTAGAAAATTAGAAATGATTTCAGAGAATCTATATCCTATTTCAATCAAACTTACAGTCTGTTGATCCAGGAAAAAATGTTGGTATGATGACCTTAACCTGTTGAACTACTCGGTCATTTATAACAGCCTGAGTATCCAAGGTCGAGGTTTGAATCAGTATTGGCTTACGACAATGATAAGAGAGGGTTAGAAACAGTTGCCTTTAAAAGTAGCACACATCACCTTATTCCACGGATTTCCATCGCCCAGGGTAAGGCCTTGTAAATAGGGAGCTAACACATCAAGTACTACTTATAAATAGGTTGTATATGGTTGATGTCGAGCAGTTGTTCCTCAGATTTTGCGTTCATGTTCTAAGGTTGACATGATTACACTTGACACGTCTAAATTTACTGATCCCTAGAGAAGAAATATTCTTTCGCGAAGTGGTCACCCGAGAAGTGACAATCGCTTATTCACTTTTAACAAAATTCGTCACTGTCTTTTTCATTTAGTAATGATAAACATTTAAAACTTGTAGAAATGATACATATGTAGAATCTATTTCAAATAATATTCAAATTTTCAAATTCAAAATGTCAAGATGTTGGATACAATTGTCGTTTAGCCATCGCTTCACTATAAAATGCACTACGGTGTAATGCAATTCTTGCTAATAATTCATCATGACTGGAACGTAATCCTGTTAGACGACCTACATTCATCCATATTGCTTGCTCACTAGTTTCAGATTCTAAGAATACCTTTGAAGAAAAAAACAGAATATATTCGAACAATTAAACAAAACACTGAAGGTTCAACAAATATTGACAAACTAAGTAACAATATTGAATTGTATAATGAACTATTGGTACAGAAAGATAATAAACCGACTGAGCGATAACATTGATAGGAAATCTTAGACTAGGATGGAAAACCAGCTTATAATAGTCTCTTGTTTTCTTTTCAGTAATTATTCGTCTGATATCAGTTAAGAAGAACTAAAAACATTAAAATTCAAGTTAATCTGAACAATATAGAGCCGGTATTCATGTAAAAACATTCCCTAAAAACCATTTCACCAGTTACTTTCCTGATAAATTCATTGGGTAATTTGTTTTCCTGATAGCTTAAACTATCATCCAAAAACTAAAAGATCATCCATCTTTATGTATTGACTATTTCTCAACCCCCCTGTACATATATATATATATTCTTAGTCTCATACATTTATAGCTCATGATGGATTCAAAGGAATAAAGTCATTGGGGAAGTAGTAAGTGAACATGTTTCTCATGGTCACTCTGGGTTAGGTGATGTATGACAAAACTGGAATATCGAATAATGTCTTCGTCACCACATATTAACAGTTTATCAACAAAATTAGACAATCAACGTGAGAATGTAGTTTTTCTCTGGTGATCTGAAGATCCTATTATGAATATCAAAATGTTCATTTCTGCTCTGTTACAGTCCTTGAATTTTACATGCATCATGCAATAAAATAATGAAGAGAAGCTTAATTATCAGACTACACTTTAAACTCACTCATATCATTTCTAATGTTGACAAAAAGAAATTGTACGAAACATTGTCAAACAATCGTCTGATGTAAATTAGATGTCAAGATTATCAAAAACATAACACGTAGAAATTATATTTGAAATCATCTCAGCGATTTCAATAGAGATTTATATATAATCTCAACAATATCCCTTACTAACTAATCTCAGCTTTTTTCTGTGAAACGATCAAATTCGAAATGATAAGAAAGATAAGTGGGATTCGGAACCAATGTAATTTGCATTTTATTTATTTTTCATTATTTCCCTGAAGAACTTTAAACTAGATTGTCGATTGAAACGTTGAGATTAGTTCACTTGTACTGTTTACATTTAATTGTAAACTTTGAATCAGTAAAAAGAAAAATTAGTCTAGAATCATGTATTTCCACTTTAATATTCTACTAACGTTTACCAACATGGGAAGCATTATTGCCAAACAAAGAGAATCTGATGCAGATGTAAAGACATGGATTTGCAAATCAAGGGACGCATTCTTACAATTGAACAACATATGGAACTCAAAGCAATTGTCAACTAATTTGAAAGTCACAATCTTCAATACGAACGTCAAGACAGTCCTACTGTACGGAGATGAAGTGTGCAGACCTACCACAACCATCATCAAGAATGTACAAGCATTTACAAACAGTTGTCTACACAAAATACTCAACATTCAATGACCGGATACTATCAGCAACAGCGTTTCATGGGAGAGGATAAACCAGGTTCCAACTGAAGAGGAAATTAGAAAAAGACGTTAGAAGTGGATAGGACATAAACTACGGAAATCGTCAAACTACAACACGAGGTAATCCCTAACTTGGAATGGTGAAGGGAAACGGAAAAGAGGAAGGTCGAAGTACATATCAGTGGTCAAGAGCTTAAGCGTTCGCATGCGAGACCGAACGTCTTGGGTTCGAGTCCTCCGTGTGTGATCTTGGATGTGTGTTGATGAGTAGTCCCATACTAAGACAAGTCTGCTGCCCAATACTTCCAGGTTTACAATGGTTATCTAATATTGTTCCATTCATGATATCATTTTAAACTGAACAATCTCCACAAACCTATACTGACAATATATATTCAACTGGTAATTTTGCTTACTCCAGAAAATTAACACCTAATATTTATCTGTGTTTTATTCAAAAGTACAATCATCATCATTTATAATTTGATATTTAACAACCCTGGTTAAAGAAAAAGACATAATTAGTTACTAACAACTAAAATAATCTCTTTGTTTATATCGATCACAAAAGTAATTGTACTCATATTTAAAAAAAAGAAAAATGGTACCATTGGTGATAACAGTTAAATTAGCAACAGTTTTACTGCTGATAAAAATTAAAAAAATGTTTTAGCGTTCAAGTTAGATCAAAACTTTGAGAGAACAAACAATCAGTAACTTTTTCTAGTCAATATTACTGAGCCAGTAAAATGTAAATTAAAATAGAGTTCTCAATAGAGGTCTCAATATAAACAAAGAGAAAAGCAAGACTCTCCCATACAATACAATATGCACCAATCAAATTAAACTTGACGGAGAAGCTTTGGAGGATGTGAAAACCTTTACATATCTGGGCAGCATCATTGATGAACACGGTGGATCAGATGCAGATGTGAGGGCGCGGATCGGCAAAGCAAGAGCAGCATACCTACAACTGAAAAGCGACTGGAGCTCAAAACAATTGTCAACCAACACCAAGGTTAGAATTTTCAATACAAATGTCAAGACAGTTCTATTGTATGGGGCGGAGACGTGGAGAACTACGAAAGCCATTATCCAGAAGATACAAGTGTTCATCAACAGCTGTCTACGCAAAATACTTCGGATCCGATGGTCAGACACTATTAGCAATAAGTTACTGTGGGAGAGAACAAACCAGATTCCAGCAGAGGAAGAAATCAGGAAGAAGCGCTGGAAGTTGATTGGGCACACCTTGAGGAAATCAGCTAATTGCGTCACAGGACAAGCCCTCACATGGAATCCTGAAGGTCAACGGAGAAGAGGAAGACCAAAGAACACATTACGCCGAGAAATAGAGACAGACATGAGAAGAATGAACAAGAACTGGATAGAACTAGAAAAGGAAGCCCAGGACGGAGTGGGTTGGAGAAAGCTGGTCGGCGGCCTATGCTCCATTGGGAGTAACAGGCGTAAGTAAGTAAGTAAGTAAGAAAAGACATGAAAATTAGTTCACCAGTTTAGTATTGATTGCATACAAAAGATAAATGAATGGTTATGGTTAGTCAAGATAAAATCTTGAAAATGAGCTCCAACCTAGTTATTGACATTCAATGATAAATCAATGTAAATATTTCAGTTCCACGAGATGTCGATAGCGGGCCTAATGGTGATACCTCAGCCAAGGATACTTGATGGCAGGTGTTGGGATCTCATAGAAAACGTCAATTCCATTAACATTTCAGTTACGCTTTGTTGATGAATGAGGGGCAGATAGCATGAATTGTAAATTCGTAGTGACCTATGTTTTATATCACACCAGCTTACATCAAAACATTATGTAAGTGATGATAAATCACTTTGGATATTGATCGATAGGACTTAGTCAGCATTAAGGACTATACAAATGTGACATTAATCACTGATTTATACTCAGTCAATCTAAGTTAAATGTTGTGTCAACAATGAATACTAGAAGGACTAAAAATTTTTGTAACAGCTCTCTTTTAACTAATAAGAATGACGTCTTAGGTACAACATAGTTTATAAGAGAAAATATTTTACACTATGGAGTTCCTGAGAAGATCGTCAACATTATCCGGAACTCATACGATGGACTACAGTGCAAATTAGTGCATCGAGAACAGTTGACAGATGCATTTCCAGTAGGGACCGGAGTCAGACAAGGCTGTCTACTCTCCCCCTTCCTCTTTCTTCTTGTGATTTACTGGATTATGAAGACCTCGACATCTGAGGGGAGACACCGGATAAAACGGACAGGTTGGATGTAACTAGACGATTCGGACTTCGAATATAACCTGAACCTTTTATTCCATAAACATCAACAAATGCAAGTGTAGACAACTAATGTAGAACCGGCCTCTGCATCAATAGGCCTCAACATGCACAGAGAAAAACGCAAGATTCTCAAATACGACATGGAGAACTACAACCCAGTCGCACATGATTAAGAAAATCTGGAAGAGGTGGAAACATTCAAGTACCTGGGAAGCATCATTGATGAACAAGGAGTATCTTAAACACAAATTATATCACATCAAAATAAACATAAATGAATGTGAATTAAAATATAAATGATTTCTAGAAATATCAATTTTCGACAGGTCACATATCGATCTCTAAAATTTAGATCTAATTATCAGACTACACTTTAAACTCACTCATATCATTTTTAATGTTAAATAGTCTAGAATCATGTATTTCCACTTTAATATTCTACTAACGTTTACCAACATGGGAAGCATTATTGCCAAACAAAGAGAATCTGATGCAGATGTAAAGACATGGATTTGCAAATCAAGGGACGCATTCTTACAATTGAACAACATATGGAACTCAAAGCAATTGTCAACTAATTTGAAAGTCACAATCTTCAATACGAACGTCAAGACAGTCCTACTGTACGGAGATGAAGTGTGCAGACCTACCACAACCATCATCAAGAATGTACAAGCATTTACAAACAGTTGTCTACACAAAATACTCAACATTCAATGACCGGATACTATCAGCAACAGCGTTTCATGGGAGAGGATAAACCAGGTTCCAACTGAAGAGGAAATTAGAAAAAGACGTTAGAAGTGGATAGGACATAAACTACGGAAATCGTCAAACTACAACACGAGGTAATCCCTAACTTGGAATGGTGAAGGGAAACGGAAAAGAGGAAGGTCGAAGTACATATTACGTTGGAAGTAGAAGCAGATATGGAGATGAGGAATAACAACTGGAATGAAGTAGAAAGGATTGTTGAGGACAGAGTTGGATGGAGAATGCTGTTGGGTTGCCTATGCTCTTCCACGAGGGGTAACAGGTGTATGTAAGTCAGTAAGTTTCTAGACGTTTAGAAAGATAATCATTACTTAACGACGAGTTATATTGGTGTTAAATTAAAAATTGTATAACAATAACTACAAAAGATAATAAACTGTTATCTTCAACGTAATTTTCAACTGTAAAACAAACTTCGCAATCCTTCATAAATATCTATGAA